ACACACACACACACACACGTACAGTATATATGATACTTTTATTTCTGGGTGGGATAACGTAACATTTCTCAAAATAAGATGATGCACCCGCTTCGAGGACCTCTGCTTGTTTTGAGATTCCTGTTGACATTGCGAGCTCTTCTCTCTCCTGGCACTTGCAAACCAGCTGCCTAAGCCAAGCCCCCCCAAAACAAACAAGCTTTAAAAGGAGGGAAGGAGAAATGAGCCTCTCCAAAATGGGCAATATCCATAAAAAATAAGAGTTTAGCCGAATTTAAATCAGTGGGGGTGAAATTGGATTTATTCTGCTGTTTATTCCGAGTATCCACAGTGTGCTGAATTCAGAAACAGTTAAAGAGCCACCCTGGGGCTTTCTGATCAATACTGTGCAGGCAGCTCCTTTAACAAGGGAATGACAAGGTCAACAGAGGAGGAGCTTGAATCAAATCTAAATAAATTAAGCTTATATTGTTAGAGGGTGTAAAAAAATCAAACCCATCAAAGATTTACCTTCTTCCTTTTAAGTCTGCAATTATTTTCAAGATATCCTGACGTAAATCTGGAGCACTGTGTAAATATAGAGATAAATATTTCAAATATTTAAATTAAAATACCTATACATTAAAAAAAATACCTGAAGGTTGCACTTACAGATCAGAACTCACTGGAACCACTGAGGACATTTGGCCCAATCAGGAACAAGATCCTTTGACTTTTAGTTATTTTTTCTGTGATTTTTACCTGTTTATCAATTTTTAAATCTATTGTTTTTCCTGATTTTATGTTTTTAGCTATGGTTCAGCTCATTTTAGCTTTTAGTTAGTGGTTTCTCCGTGTTACCTTTTAGCCGTATTGTTTAAACTTTTAGCTATTTTACTCATTTTAGCTTTTTGCATTTGTTTTCTTAACTTGTAATGTTTTGTTAATTTTAGTTTTTGCTATTTGTTCATTGTAGCTTTTTTTGTTGAAGTTTTCCTTATTTTAGCTTTTAGCTACAGGTTTGATTATTTTAGCTTCTGTTCTGCTTGTTAACCAGCCGTTCAGGTGATTCACTCTTTAATAATCTGAAGCAAAGTCCCTCAGCATATGGGTGCAGAAAATCTCGGTTTGGAGATGCTAAAACATTAGTAATATCACATTAGGTTAAAAAAAGGCTATTTTTGAGCTTCTTACTCTGCTTTCCTGGCGAGTCCCACCGAGCGGCAGAGCGTGGCGGGGGTCTGCGGAACCAGGGACTTGCAGCAGGCGCTCCTCTTGTCCTCCTCGGCGGGGTCGGGACCGGCTTGGCTCACTTTGGGGGACTGCGGGGAGGTGGGAACGAGCTGCAGCTGCTGCGGGTGGTGTGAGGACGGAGCAGGAGGGTGCTGCTGAGGCTGGGCCGCCTGGTTGATCACCTGCTGCTGCTGTTGCTGCTGCTGCGGCGGCGGCGGCACCTGCTGGCCGAGGTGCCCGGCAGCTTTGGCGCTGCTCCCCGGGTGCTGATGGAGGTTGGCCGGCGCTTGGGGGCTGGCGCTGCGGTGAGAAGGGTGATGGTGGTGGTGGTGGTGGTGAAGCTGAGGGGGCTGTTGGACGTAGAGGTGGGGGTCCCGCAGCTGTCGGTTCTCTCCGATCAGGTCCTCCACCTTGCGCTCGAGCTCGTCGATGCGCTGGCGCTGCGTCTGGATCAGACTCTGCTGGTTCTGGACGATGGTGGTGAGCTCCTTCAGGTACAGGACGGCTTTCATTGGGTTATCCAGCAGGCTCTCCATCACTAGCTGTGGCTGTGCCCGGTTCTTGCGGCTTCCCTCTCAGCTGCTGCTGACGCTGCGATCCGCCGATGCGGCCTTCAGGACCGAGTGAATCCGGAATTCTGTGGCGGCAGGTCTGGCGCCTCTGCGCTCCTGTGAGGTGGGCAGGCTCACTGTTTGTGTGCGTGTGTGTTTAATGAGGATGCCAGAAATGGTGCTGATGCAAGAGGAGGATGAGCATCAGCAGAGAGTGCGRAGGCGGGGTCGTAGTGGAAGAGTGACGTCAGCACGCAGCGCCAATAATCAAGCAGAATCAGAACTCTTAACATGACTTTAGACCACAGTGTTCTTTAATAACCAAAATACTAAAATAAAACACTAGTCTGTTTATCGGCTTTTAAAATAAAGTTTATCTAAAAAATATTGTTTAAACTTGTTCAAATTTTGTTATAGTCTCAAAAGAGTTGCGTGCAATGGAGTGCTACAGGTGCCTCTTTTTTTCTTGTTCAAATGCCCTCTTTGTGAAGGTTCTTTTATTGGCCGCTGCTGAAAGGTCAATGAGTGGCACCATAAAATATCTCAATCACATGACAGGTTTTAATGAAACCTTAATCGGTGCGTGCATCAGCTAATTAACTTTTAGAATCAATTCAACCAAAATTGGCTAACACAGACAACTGACCTTATAACACAACAGTGAATTTAGCTCAACCTGTTTTACAGATACTGGGCTAAAATTTAGAATATCTTGGTCTAAAACTCGGACAGGAATTAATTCAAACACAGCTAAACCTCTTTATTATTTTTTATCATTATGTATTTAGTGTAACATACAAGTAAGAGTAAAATATTTCAGATAAATATTGCATTTAAGACATTGTGTGATTTATTATCAAGTGGACATGTAGCTGGCACTGGTTCTCTAGCAGAAATCTATGGTGCTGACTATTTCCTGGACATGTACCAAGCCTTGTATTGCTGATATTTACAGATGCTTTGTAATGAAAACACTTAGGTTTTACAGGCTAAAACGGTCTGTAAACATAAATACATTATCTTGATTGGTCATAGTTTTACTAAAAATGACAGAGGATTATGCATGTTGCAGAACGGTTTGAAAGGCGCAGTATTAATGTGAAACATGCTGTATGAAAAATGTGATCCAGTCCTTTAGGGTAAAGCTGGGAAGTTTTCTGCTGAGGGCAAATCGAGCTCAAGCCTCCTGCAAACAGCAAGACAAACCACAGGATAAGAGAGAAAATATCCTTAAAGGGTTCCAGACTGTTGGAAAACACCGTTGTATGAAACATTTTCTGTGCTCACTGGATTATTATAATTTGCCTTGGTTTCCAATGTTTTACTAAACAGGGTAAAAACAACAGAGACCATGGCATGCGTGCAGAAATCACGAAAAGCTTTTTTTGTCTGCAGACCTCATTCCTTGCTGATTTGAAGTGATTACACTGCATGAGTCTTTACTCCTTAATTTAGCAGGAAAATATGAAAAATGATTTAACTCTGTGTATTTGTGTGTAACAGGGCTCCAAAACAGTCTATAGGTGTGACCTAACTGGTATCAGATAGCACAAACATGCTGCAGTTTTGTGATTTTTAAACATATCTGAAAGTAAAAATGCAATTTTTAAAGTTTCCTGGCTTGAAATAATATAAAACTTTCGACAAACTTTCTTTAAACAGCGCCAATAAATTCTAATAGCCCTCCACCCTTAATGCAGTGAAACATTAGGACCACAGTTATGAGCCAGCAGTGGAGCACCCAGGTCCCTTTCTCCATATGGCTGCTTTACAAGCTGCATAAAATAAAAAACGACTCTCGCGCCCRACCATCAACACAGGGCTGGACAGAGCCAAAAAAACAGGTTTTACAGCAGGATTATAAAAAATGAAACGGGTGCAGACGGTGACTTTGGTGTTGACATCAGCAGGTGCTCACTCTGGACCCATGCAGCCGACCTTTAGCACCAATTATCTTCCAGGTGAACGTGAGACTCGAGGTGGCTGCACACTTTTTGATCTGAGATTGCGTGGAGAAGGCTCCGCGTGTGAGATGAATGATGAAGTCACTCCTGCAGAGGACAAAATGTTCAACAACCTCCTTAAAAGTATTAAACTTTAGTTGGATTTCAGGCTCCAAGAAAAGTTTGCCTCTTTTGGATTCTCCTCAACAACTTTGTTTCAAAGCAGTTCTATCAGTGTGAACTTACTCCTCAGAGYGCTGCTGTAACTCAGGCTGAAAGTAGAATTGCAGTCATTTTTGTTTTGTTTTGTCATTATTCACAAACACAGTGAAGTGCTGGGATGTTATAAAATATGGAATAAAACATTTCTCTCACAAATGGGAAACAAACTCGAGCACCTGTAGCTGTTTTAGTGTGTCACCTAAAAGACTCATTCCTTTTCTTGTCACATTATTTTTATTATAATATTATTTTCTGTTGTTTCTAACTCCTTCAATGAAAACTTGTTAGAAGGAATGCACTTTATTAACAGTAATAAAAAGCATACTGATGAGGTGGAATCTTTAAAAGAAGCCCTCAGATGACTTTTTGCCATGTGTAACAGCTGGAGTGAGTAGCTACGTCTCATTTCACAAGTAAGCAGATTTGATTTTATTTACCTCAATGTGGATGTAATCTGACCAAAACTGAAATCGATAATGTAACAGTTTCAAGTTAAAGTAAGCTTATAAAGCTGATGTAATCACTGTTAGTTATTGAACTGGTTAGAGATATTAGCTTATGTAGCATGTGGAACCACTTTAAAATAAGGCTTGCCTCATTGATGGCTTATAAATAGTTTATAGATAGATAGGTTATGAAATCATCTGTGAACTCTTTATAAATCATTAAGTGTTTATCATGCATTTATTAATGATGAGAATCGTGAGCCAAATCTGTTTTATATTACATCTAAAGGTGCTATGTTTAACGTTTCAGACTAACCACTTTGTAAGCACAATAATGTATTGGAAATACATGTTTTACATATAATATAGTACTGTATTACTGCATTATACATATTCACAATTAAATGTAAGATAGTAGGTACACTGTTAATGATTAATAGACTTGTATAAATGTCATAAGGGAGCCCTATAAATAGTGTACCTTTTTACATTTTACAATAAGGCTTCCTTAAAGCATTTATACATTATAAAWGATTTATAAGCCATCTATAAGGGGAGCCTAATTGTAAAGTAGTACCCATGCTAGAAATTAGCACAAATTAAATTTTACAAACTGGCTTTGCCTCTAATTAGTGTAAGGCTTACACAGTGTAAACCAATATTATATGTTTAACTAATTTGAGGTTTCTATTAGACCAACCTTACCAAAAATGGTGGTCACACCAGATGCTGACTGCCTGACCCCCCCCCCACCCCCCACCTCCAATAAAGCAAAACGGCATGTTTTAGACTGGTCTTTTATTGTGGCCAGCCTACAGCACATTGGTGCAATAATCATGCTGTCTAATCTTTATCTTTATTTGCCCCTCCTGTGAGGTGGGATGGATTATTTATGCAAAGGAGAAGTGCTCGCTATCACAGATTTAGATAGATTTGTGAACAATATTTGAGACAAATGGTTATTTTATGTATGTGAAAAATGTTTAAGATCTTTGAGTTCAGCTCATGAAAAATGGGAGCAAAAAATGTGTTTATATTTTTGTTCAGTTAAGGTGTTGATGGATAAATAATTCTTTTTTTATGAAAGTAAGAAATAATGATAATAATAATAATAA